ACATGCTGCCTCCCTCCAGCCCTTTCACCAACCGTTTCTCCCAAAGCACCCACCAACCTCTCTCCTGGGTTTGATAATTTGCTGCAGTGGACACACAGAACTCACAGATTATGGGGTTTATTAGGGAAGCACCAGGCTACAATTCAAGTTCAGGAAAAAACGCTCAGTCTCTCTCCCAGCCCACCCTCTCTCAGCCAAGTCTCCCAGTCTCTCTTCCAACAGTGCATGCCCCTAGGTGTCTCACTCAGCAATGTGTGTCTCGAGTCTCTTTCCCAGCAGTGTGTGTCTCTTTCAGCAGCACGTCTTCCTCAGCCAGCAGTCAGAGAGAGTTCTGCCTCTAGGAGGCCTCCTTTTGAGCTTGGCAGAGTGGCCAAACCAACCAATCATAACAACAGAATTCTAAGCACCTGAGAGTGAGCCTCCCGTAACATTGCATTGTGCCACACCCAACAGAAATAACCTGGGTAGATAACATTTACAGTCAGGAACTCCTCAGATGCTCATTCCACCACTGAGTTTACAATGACTTATGGGTAGAAAAGCCATATTAAGTAATTTACTACACTGCACCGTGGTAGCTAGGCACTATCTAGTTCTTCTGGTCTCATAGTCATAATAGGCTGAGGATCGCATCTCACATACTTCTTTGTGTCTTCATTTACCTTGGCCAGGTTGTGCAAACTTCACTCATACTGGGTATTGACTTTCCCATCACCAAAGCTAACAAGTGTCTACTATCTAGAAAGTGATTCCACCTCCATTCCCCTTCCATCCCTGGTAACCATCAAATAACGTGTATGCCTATTCTTGACTTTTTATAAACGTGAGTCCATACAATATTTGTCTTTTTGTGAATGACTTATTTCATTTAGCATAATGTCCTCCAGATTATCTATGTTATAAGGTATTTCACGGAGTCCTTTATTCTTTATCATTGCATAGTACTCCATTGTATGTATGTACTACAATTCTTTTATCCATTTATCTGTTGATGGGCACTTAGGTTATTTCCATCTTTTTGCTGTTGTGAAATATACTGCAATGAATGTAGGTTTGCATATGTCTAGGATATATTCCTAGGAGTGGGATTGCTGGTTCATAAAGTATTTCTATATCTAGCTTTTTGAGGAAGCCCCGTACTGTTTTCCATAGTGGTTACACCATTTTATAATCCTACCAGCAGTGTATAAGAATTCAAATCCTTCTACACCCTCAGCAGTATTTGTTGTTTTCTGTTTTTTGATCATTGCCACCAGTGCAGGGGTGAGATGTTATCTTATTGTAGTTTTGATTTGCAGCTTTGTAATGGCTAATATTATGAGCATCTTTTCATGTGTTTGCTGGCCCCCTGAATGTGCTCTTTGGTGAAGTGTCTGTTCATGGCCTTTGCCCATTTTTTGATTGGATTGTTTGTCTTTTTGTTGTTGAGTTGTTGAACTTTTCTGTATATTTTAGTGATTAGACCTTTATCTAATATGTTACTGTAAAGATTTTTTTTCCTCTAATCTGTAGGTTCTATTTTCATTCTCTTGGTAAGTCTTTTGATGAGCGTAAGTGTTTAATTTTTAGGAAGTCTTGGTTATCTAATTTATCTTCTGTCTGTGCGTTTTTAGTTTTATTTGATAGACTATTTATGCCCTAAATTTGGTTCATCTAGTTTTGACCCTGGGGAGCTCTGGTAGCATAGTGGCTAAGACACTTGCCTGCTAACCAGACGGCTGGCGGTTCAAATCCACCAGCCACTCCTCGGAAGGAAGGTTGGGCAATCCTACTTCCGTAGTGATACTGCCTCGGAAACCCAAGAAGGGGTCGCTATGAGTCGGGGCCGACTCGACGGCACATAACAACAACAACAACAACAAGTTTTGACCCTGTGTTCTCTTCCAGGATAAACTTTTAGATTTAACATTGGGTCTTTGAGCCATTTTGAGTTAGTTTTTATGCATGGTGTGAGATTTGGATCCTGATTGATTTTTCTGCATATGAATATACACTTTTGCCAGCACCATTTGTTAAAGAAACTGTTTCTTCCCTGTTGGATGGACTTTGACCCTTTGTCTTAGATCAGCTATCCCCATGGATGCATTTACTTCTGGGTTCTCAATTCTGTTCCATTAGTCTGTGTATCTGTCTTTGAATTAGTACCAAACTGTTTTGATTACCATGCCTGTATAGTAAGTTTTGCGATCAGCAAGTGAGAGGCCTCCTATCTAATCTTTCGAGTTGCTGTTATCAATCTGCTCTTAGGTAGATAGTTCTTGTAAGAGCATAATACTCACAGCAGACATTTTTTACTAGTTAAGCTAAACTATTGTTTGGTTTTAAGAAGACTTCAGAGGATATTTTTGGTTTAATGTTTAAAGATTATCTCAGGGTAATAATTCCAGGGGTTCATTCAACCTAAATGGCTCCAGGAAGTCTGAGCTCCGGGAAGTCTGAGAATTTGAAATTCCCTTCTGCATTTCCCCCTCTTTAAACAGAATTCTTCTACAGAATCTTTGATCAAAAATTTCAGTAATAGTAGTGGGGCATCATCCAGTTCTTCTGGCCTCATGACATAGGAGGCAGTTGTTCATGGAGGCAATTAACTACATGTTCCATATCATTCTCCTATTGCCTACTTTCCTTCCTGTTGCTGCAGATAAACAGAAATCAGTTGCTGTGATTTGGAGGCTGCTTGCAGGCTTTTAAAACCCTAGGCACTACCCAGTGAACTAGGAGGTAGAACAAAAGTACTACACATGTCATTAGGCCAGTTAACTGGGGTGCCCCGTGAAACCATGGCCCTAAACCTCCAAACCAAGAACCAAATCCCATGAGATGTTTGATTGTATATAAGCAGCCTCAGCAACTACTCTTTTTTTGTTGTTCATTGTTGTAAAAATATCTATCATACAACTTTTGCTAATTCAACTTTTTACAGGTATACAAATTATTGATAGCAATTATAATAATAGTTTGTGCAACCCTACTCTTAATCAATGCAGTTTTTCTGTCACTGTTAACCCTCCTTTCCTCATCCCTCCTGTTCCTGATAGCCACTAATAAACTCTGGTCTTTGTACATTTGCCTACATTATGTAAATGAGGTTATACAATATTTGTCCTTTTATGATTGACTTATTTCACTCATCATAATGTCTTCCAGTACTATACATACTGTAGTTTGTATATCAAGGCTTCATTTCTCCTACGGGCTAAGTAGTACGTATGTGCTACATTTTGTTTATCCATTTATCTGTTGATGAGCATTTAGGTTGTTTCTACCTTTTGGCTATTGTGAATAGTTCTGCAGTGAACACTGGTATGCAAGTCTCTGATTGAGTCTCTGCTTTCAAGTCTTTTGGGTTTATACCTAGTAGTAGAATTGCTTGGTCTAATTTTAGTTTTTTGAGCTGTAGCATTTTGCATTCCCATCAGCAAAGGATAAGGGTCCACATCCTTGCCAACATTTGTTATTATTATTTTTTAAATCTAAGCTTCCTAGTGGGAGTGAAATGTTGTCTTATTGTGGTGTATTTGCATCTTTCTGATGGCTAATGATGCTGAGCATCCTTTCTTGTGTTTTCTTAATGGACATTTTCATGTTCTCTTTGGTGAAATATCTATTCAAGTCCTTTGCCCATTTTATGATTGAATTATTTGTCTTTTTGTTGTTAAGTTATTGAAATTTTACGTATATTTTGATTATTAGATTCTTGTCAGATATGTGGTTAAATAATGCTTTTCCTAAATGTATTGAATAATTTGGATCTGTCCTCCCTTCCATTCTTTTATAAGTTAGCTCACTAGTTGCAAAATATCCCTGATTACTGTAGTCTTCTCCAATTTAAATACTTGTTTCTTGAGAGAAGCAAATATTTTTTTGAGCCTTAAATCTAAAATCAAATTTTTATATGTATCTTTAGCAAAGGATGATATTCTCAACGATACATTTGCCTATGAGCTATTAATGAGGCAATTGTGCAAAAGCGTATCATAGTTTGTACAGTTCTAAAGTAAGGAGACCCTATAACCCAGTCTATAAGTGTTGTCCTGTGAAATTAGTATTATCACCTCTTCTCATTCTCACAGGTGCTCCACTTTGGAGGATTAAGTATATATGGTTAAATTATTTAGGAGGCCAACACAGTGGAGTCCAAACATGTAACTTTCTGATGATCTCATTCAATCCAGAGAAATTAATGGATTGACAGTATGGTCTTCAAGTCGTCTTCCATGTACAGAATTTTTCTTAATTGAATTTGATAAAAAGTGAGAAGCAAACAGTTTGAGACAAAATCCTGAGCCTTAGGTATTGTATTCTCTGGTTAAGAAGATTGCTGCTTGCTTCAGAAGTCAGCTTTAGACCAAAAAGATTTATGCTTCCTGACTTTAAGGTATGGCATAAGGAAATAATTTTTATACTTTAACATTAATTAATTTTCTCCTCCCTGTCATATATTGACCATGGCATATATTATTTTCACATATTATAGACAGAAAAACTAAAGACAGTAATTTTCCATTCTCAGATGAAGAGCTTGAAATAGAACTCTAGGCCATTTAAATGTAATGTGTAGTTTTTTTGAAAAAAATCTTTCTTAGGGAAATGATGATGATACCTAGACTTTTTTTTTTTTCATTTATTAAATGTATTCAAGCATTATTCTAACTGCTTTATTTGGATTATCATGGTCTGTCTTTCCATAACCCTGTGAGGTGGGTACTGTCAGGATCCACAGAAAGAGGTTAACTAGTTCGCCCAAGATGATACAGCTAAGTTAGGATTTAAATGTAGGCGGTACTACCCCAGGGCATACACTTCTATCTCCTAGGCTGTAGTATGCCTGTAGAAAACATAGTTTGCTAACTACTTTTAAAAGAACATGAACAAAAAGTAGTTTAGTGATGATATGTCACTTCTTTTAAAAACAATTTGTGCTCTCCCTTTTAAAATTATGCTACCTTTTGTATTTGTGTGCTTCAGTTTTTGGGGACATTAAACTATTATATTTTTAGGAATCTGGGGTATTGGAGTCGCAACCCAGAAAGTCAACTTGAATCAGATTCCTCTTGGCCGAGATGTGCACAGTCTGGTGATGAGGAATGATGGAGCTCTCTACCACAACAATGAGGAGAAAAACAGGCTGCCAGCAAATAGCCTCCCACAGGAGGGAGATGTGGTGGTGAGTTTTCTTAGGAGTTGTTTTCCACTGTGAATTATTAAACTCAAATTGCTTTTAGTCTATACAGTGTTGCCTGGGAGTTTGTGGTTTGAATTTCAAAGCACTAGGATTGGATCTAATGAGGTGGTACATTTCCCAAAGAGAGCCCTTTGCATAGGTGCTACTGCCTTGCCTGCCTGCCTGCTGCTTTATAGAGATGCCATTGGCCAGGAGGATCGTTGTGAGCCCATATTTTAGTTCAGGGGGATTCTTGACAGGTTCAGTCTGATCCACAACTTACCGTGAGATGTTGTGGGCCTGGGCAGCATTTCATTGCATTGTACATGGGGTCACCATAGGTTGGAGGCCGACTTTGCAACAACAGTGGTTGACAGGTTGGCTGCTAATCGGCATTTCCTGCTTCTTTCACATCACAGAAAATTTGGCTCACAATTTTAAAAGTTTTCTGAAAGTTTTAGAAAATATTAGGTGATTTTGAAGCTGGAAATCTTTTAGAAAAAATTTTTAATTCATTACTTAATTTGTTATGAACTTCTGTTCATTACAGTATTTTTTTCAGGAAAGTTGGTTCTCATTAAATTTAATCATATTAAATTTCCTTTACTTTGAGAACTCTTCAAAGAACTGGACTCAAGATCCTAAAACTTGATTAGAGAGAAGTTTGTTTTTGTTTTTTTTTTTTTTTAGAAAACAGAATAGAGTTATACACATTAATAAGACTTTTCTATTTTCATTCCCAACTAGATATATTTATCTTTTTACCAAAGCCATCCTGTTGAAAATGCAATACAAAGATATTTTCTTTAATTCCCCTCCCAGCTACTTCCTCTCATAACGTGTTATTTGAAAACTTTACATACTGAGTTTAGGCAATTAGCTGTTGATTGAGAGCAGAGTCCTAGGTCTTCTTTAGCAAAGCTGCCCTTTTACACAGAACCTTGGGCTTCTGGCTCTGGTGTCAAGTTGAATGGAATCTGTGAATAATGGAGAAAGTGTCTAATAATAAGAAGACACAGACAAGGTAAATTCAGGTTATTGAATTAAAGAAATACGTAGTATTTGGGAAAGAATGAAGAAAGGTATGAAAATCAAGAATTCTAATTGTGGTCTGGTCTTTCTTCTCGTTTTTGCAATTTTAAAAATACGAATAAGAGTTAATTTTTAATTCTTGAACTTTTCTTCCTAAATTTAAAAAAGACAAAAGGCATAAACCATTTTTATAATCAACTTTTGTCTGCTCTTTTTAACTAATTGGTTCTGTATTTATAGATTATTGCCATATGCCCATAATATGGAACATCCTTTAAGGAAATGATTATTTCTTGAAAGAGAATCTTGAAGTTAAGTTGATGCTGTCAACCTGTTTACACTAAAAGATGAAATTCAAACATAAGGAAGGATAATCAGTAGCAAATGTTTTTCTTTGTTGATGCAGTGAACTTCTGCCATGTGTTATTCTTGCCTTTCTGTCTCATCCATTGAGATGACTGATACCACAAATTGACAGATTTAATGATGTCAGTTTTTGTCTATTAGCATTAAGAAGTTAGACTTGGAATTTTAATGCCCATTCTGATAAAAGGAGGACTAAAGAAGATGAAATGTATCGAGGATCAAGAAAAGTAAAATGTTACCCTACTGTATTAACTTTATCTTGCTGGTTCAAACACTCGAGAACAGATTTTTACCAAATTGGTGACAGTGGCATTGAAAAAGTAGAATGGATTATGAGATGTGAAAAACATTTTAATGTGTGTAGAATTTCAGTTATATGTCATTCTCTGAAAAGAAGTCAAGAAAAATAAGCTCTTAACATCTAACCAAACTATTATGTTCACACAATAATCATATGTAGTAACAGGGTTGATAGCAGCACTAGCTTATGCTTGTTTTTCACTTTTATATATGTTGTTGTTGTTATGTGCCATCGAGTCGGACCCGACTCATAGCAACCCCTCCTTGGGTTTCTGAGGTGGTATCACTATGGAACCTTGCCCAACCTTCCTTCCGAGGAGTGGCTGGTGGGTTTGAACCACCATCCTTCTGGTTAGCAATCAAGTGCCTTAGGCACTATGCTACCAGAGCTCCTTCTTTTATATATGGTTTGGAAAGTGCTGATTCCCTTCTAAAAATGTACTGTTTAGTTTAACTTTAGAGAAGTTCTATGACATTTATTATATGGGTCAGGCACTGCTCTAATGCCTGCCAAGGATTCAATTGTTTAATCCTCCTAATAACCATATAAGACAGGTAGTATCATTATCCCCATTTTATAGAGTAGAAGTTAAGTAACTTCTTGTATGAGGTAGTGCCAAGGTTATAATCAAGGCAGTCTGATTTCAGAATGTGTTCACTAAATCTGCAGATAATTATTGATAAATGATAGACCGTGTAGGATATTTTTTGGTATCAGTATAGCAGAGTGAAACTCAGTTTATAGATCATATAAGAGGACAGATTAGATTAGAAAATACTTGAACTAAACTCTGCTGGGAGTCTCACATTTTTCCTCACTTCTTTCTTTGGTATCAGGATTTTGCAGCTAGGCTGGGAGCTTGGGTTAAAATGTGCTTGCTTGTAATAGGTTATGCTGCCACCAGGTAGTAAAGAGCTCCTGGATTATCACCTGCTGAAAGAAGCTTTGATGGTGAAGTGGGTAAGGCATTTGGCTGCTTACCAGAAGGCTGGTGGTTTAAGCCCACCAGCTACTCCTTGGAAAGAAGATGAGGCAGTCTACTCCCGTGAAGAGTGAGTCGGAATTAACTCGATGGCAGTGGCTTGGTTTTTTTTGGTTTGATCTGACTGAGGAGCTCTGGTGGTACAGTGGTTAGCATCGGGCTGCTAACCAAAAGGTCAGTGGTTTGAACGCGCACCACCTTTTCTGTGGGAAGAAGATACAGCAATCTGCTTCCCCAGAGATTTTCAGCTTTGGAAACCCTTTGGGGCAATTCTCTTCTGTACTGTAGCATCTCAGTAAATCAGAATTGACTTAATGGCAATGGCAATGAGTATAGATTCAGGATCTGAACTGTTGGATTTCCTTTGGTCCTAATACACTTTCTTTTTTTATGTAATTATGTTTTGTTTTTTAAAATGAAAATAGATCTCTTTATTAAAAAAGCTAATTCTAGTCATTAGTTAGCTTTATTATTTAAGTACATAAACTAAAATGAAATAAAGGCAATCTATATACAGTTTATTTTTTTTCTCCTATTGTAAATCATTGTTTAACCCTAGCTTTGCTGAGATAGGAGGAGAAGTTTTTATAGCACTTAACCACGTTGATTTCTTTCTAACTCTAACTGGAAAGTGAGAGTGTTAAGGCTAGATGATCTATAAAATCTTTTTCTACATCTAAAAAACCTTTGTATAATTGACCCACAGTCAGAAATCCTTGTTTTTCATCTGTGATGATTTCTCTACTGAGAGATCACTACCATCTATTCTTAATTCTCCAAATGAAAGATCTCTTTTTTGTCATCAGCCAGTAACTATCGTAAGGTTTTAGAGAGAGTAGTATGGCATGGTGATTAAGAGCAAGTACTCTAAAACCATAAAGTACGGGTTTAAGCTCTAGCTCTGGCACTTCCAAAGCTCGGCATTTCAAACTCACCAGCAGCTCCATGGGAAAAAAGACCTGGTACCCACAAAGATTACAGCCTAGGAAACCGTGTGGGACAGTTGTACTCTGTCCTGTGGGGTTGCTATGAGTCAGAATCAACTTTATGGGACACAACAGCAGCAACAACAGAATAATGCTTCAAACATAACATGGGCTAGGTGTTTTCTAGTATTTTAATTGTAATAATTATTACTAATCAACTTGATTAGTAATTGATTTTTATTTTTGTACCATCTATAGTTTTCAGTTATATATTATATATATATATACACACACACACACACATATATGTATATATATATATGTATGTATGTATGCATATATATCTGTTGAGCTATTGTTTTTCTACTTTTCAATTTGATACTAATTATTATATTAGTTACATTCAGTTATTCAGTTGCAAACACCAGCTTTGCCTCTGTAAGGTACTTGACATAGTTACCAGGGTAAAGAGATACAGAAATGGATGGTTTCATTTTAGAAATCAATTGTGTAAAAATATTTCTTCACAACTTGAAACCACTGACAGATAGTAGACCCTGATGGTGGGAACCTCATTGTTTTCCCTCTCAAGATCAAATTTTAAATGTAGACAGCAGTGTTGTCTGTATGAATTAAAAAGGTCTCTCTCTTTATGTGCACAGTACATAGATCATATTAATATTCAAAATATAAAATCTAGTTGGTCTGAATTAATACTATGTTTTAAACTATAATCATTTGTTTTGCCTCTAATGTGTACTTTTGGGATTTTACCTGACTTTTTCCCCCTTATATAATCACAGTTAAATTTTTTTAGCTCAGTTCATTTAGGTCTCTATCAGATTATCAACCTGTAATAAAAACTATTGTGACCCTTTGGTCAGTCAGTTTTTCATAATGTTTTCTTTCCTTCACAGGGTATTACATATGACCACGTAGAACTAAATGTATATTTGAATGGAAAAAACATGCATTGTCCAGCATCAGGTATACGGGGGACAGTGTACCCGGTTGTTTATGGTAAGCTAAAATATTTCTAATATGGTATTACATATATGTTAACTTCTGCTTGGCATTTTTATTAACTTTATCATTCAGAAGTCTGGGCAGATTGCTAATAAGAACATTTTTTGTATGTTGTATACTCCACTTTGTAGGAATAAATTTAGTTTCTTTTTTCTTCATGTACTAAAAAAACACACGAAAACTTGCTAAATATAGTAATTATACTTAAATATGCATAACCGTATTATCTTTTTTATCATGTAGTCATTTATCTTAGAGAATTCAAAAAAACATCACAGAATTTACAAAGATCTTTTTGCCAGTTCTTAGGGAGGATTAGATGACCAGGAAGTGAAATTGTAAAGAATATTTTGGAACTAGGAATGGGAATTTTGTGTACATTGAAATTAATTAGCTTCATAAAATTACCTAAATGTTAAAGCTCTTCTTACATAATTATGACTTAGAATAGTTTCATATTGATTGTTTTGCTTTTGATAACCATGTGTATACTGTAGTATCTATACAAGTATGCCCCTCCAAGAATTGGGTTGCTTGAGAGATGACTCTCTATCACTTAATTATTTTAATTTTTTGTTATAGAAAATTTGAAACATGTATGGAAGTAAAAAAAAAAAAAAAAGATAGAATGAGCCCTCACCTACTTATTATCAACTTCATAGACAATCAGGTTTCATTTGCCTTCCAGCACTCTTTCTGCTCTTCACTTTCCCTCCTTGGGCTATTTTGACGCAGGTGGCAGACATAAATGGTTTATATGCATCTCTAAAAGTTAACGTCATTTAAAAAAAAAACACATGATGGCTTTATCATTTTATCCCACTTTATTTTTCATGTTCTCAAATTTAAATCAGCAGGTATATGATTTTTCTGCCTACATTTTAGTAGGTCTATTTTGTGCCTTACTTTTTAGTTAAGGATTTTGTTAGTCTCCTTTTCTCCTGAAGATTACTTTTCATTGATTTATACTTCTGTGTCTTTACAATGTAAAAATGTATTTTAAAACTAGATTTAGGTTCATTTTCTTGCATAGTGAACTAAAAATAATTCCTTTATTTAAGTAAACAGAAATGTAGCTTGATTAGCCCGATTTAAAAAAAAAAACAAAAACTTATTGCCACCGAGTCACACCCGACACATAGTGACCCCTCCTTGGATTTCTGAGGCAGTATCACTACGGAAGTAGATTGCCCAACCTACCTTCTGAGGAGGGCTCATGGGTTTGAACCGCCAGCCTTCTGGTTAGTAGTCAAATGCCTTCGGCACAATGCCACCAGAGCTCGTATTAAAATAAGTATCAGTAGACTGACTGAGTTATACAAGTGAATATTGAAAATAAAATTCTTATTCTAAATTGCTTCTTTGATTCAAAATTTTTAAGAATTTTATTTTTGTTGTAGTTGTTGAGAATATACACAGCAGAACAAATGCCAATTCACTAATTCACACATGTACAATTTAGTGACATTAATTATGTTCTTTGGATTATGTGACCACTCTTACCCTTCTTTTCTGAATTGTTCCTTCCTCTTTAACATAAATTCTCAGCCCCCCAAGTTTCCTATCTAATCGTTTGAGTTGCTGTTGTTAGTTTAAGCTCCTCTAGATAGATCTTAAAAGAGCACAATGCTCAGGGTAGACATTCTTTACTGTTGTTGTTGTTGTTACATGCCGTCGAGTCGGACCTGACTCATAGCGACCCCTCCTTGGGTTTCCGAGGCAATATCACTACAGAAGTAGATTGCCCCATCTTCCTTCCGAGGAGTGGCTGGTGGGTTTGAACCGCCAGCCTTCTGGTTAGCAGTCAAATGCCTTAGGCACTATGCTACCAGAGCTCCTACATTCTTTACTAGGTAAGCTAAACTATTGTTGGTTTTAAGATGACTTGCTTTAAGGTTTAAAGCTTATCTCAGGGCTTCTTTTCAGGGATTCATCCAGCCTCCATGGCTCCAGAAAATCTAGAGTCCATAAGAGTTTGAAATTCTGTTTGATTCAACATTATTTTTGGTGTAGTAAATTATGTATTTATTGTTGTTGTTGTGTGCCGTTGAGTCAGACCTGACTCATAGCGACCCCTCCTTGGGTTTCCGAGGCAATATCACTACGGAAGTAGATTGCCCCATCTTCCTTCCTAGGAGTGGCTGGTGGGTTTGAACCGCCAGCCTTCTGGTTAGCAGTCAAGTGCCTTAGGCACTACGCTACCAGAGCTCCTTATGTATTTATAGTAAAGTTATATTTCATAAATTGGAATCTATAAGTTAGCCCACTTAAACCAAAATATTTTAATAGTATGATATTATCAAAGACAAAAATAAAACTTAAAGCCCTTACCCTTTGTCCTTCATTCCATTGCTAATCCTAGAGAAATCCTGTTATTCATTTTGTCTATTTTTACACATAACCTATGGAGAGAATAAAACTACATAACACTAAAGAAAAGTGCCACTACCAAATTATGACTTTCAGCCAAATATAAGCTCTCAATGTTTTGGGGCAATTCTTATCATCTCTCTAATTGGGTCCTGGAGTCCCTGGATGGTGCAAATGGTTAATGCACTCAGCCTCTAACTGAACGTTTGGAGGTTCAAGTCCACCCAGAGGCTCCGTGGAAGAAAGATCTGGAGGGAGGTCTACTTCTGAAAAATCAACCATCGAAAACCCTGTGGAATACAGTTCTACCCTGACATACACGGGCTCACCATGAGTCGGAATCTTCTCAGTGGCAACTGGTTTTTAATTGTGTCTCATTCCACTTGCCAGATCTTCACCATCTGCTTAAATTTCCCCACTTATATTCTTTATAGATCCTTTCCTTCTACTTTATAAAGAAACAGGCTGTCAATAGTAATCTCCAGCTTTACATTCTTGTCCTGAAACTTTTCGGGATCAACTCCCATCTTGTTTTATTTCCATTCCATCTCAGAGGAAGTGGTACCCCTCATGTTCTCTGATTATAGTCTAGATTTCAGATTCCCCCAACTCTGGGACTTTGTCAGTTATTTAATCTATTTATCATATAATCGACCTCTTTCTTTTCAGTGCTTATAAGTGTTCTGAGTCCCTTTAAGCCCAAAAAACCTGCCTTTGAACTTCTATTCCTCACTATCCCTATGCTTACTCTTCTCTGTATGATTACATTTTATAATAGGATAGTCTATACTATTCTTCATTGTGTTGTTCATTTGTTCTTCAAACCAGTCTGGCTGCTGTTACCACCACTTTGTTGAAACTGCCCTAGTTAACATCACTAGTTATTTCATAAATGTCGTGAATGTCAAATTTGGTACTTACTTTTCATATATTATGAAATATATGTAGAAATATGTATTAAACATATATGCACAACTACACAAATAGCTGTAAAGTGAACACCCATGTTATTACCACTTAGGTCAATAAATAGAACCTTTTCAGAGACCCAAACTGCAGTGCCCATTACAACTCCATCCCTCTCTCACAAGATAATCACTATTTTGACGTTAGTGCCAGTTACTTACTTGCTTTGATTTATGTTTTTGGTTCTCATTCCCTTTTTTTTTTTTTTTTTTGGTCTTTGGGTGAAGATTTACAGAGTAAATTCACTTTTCATACAGCAGTTCACATATACTTTGTCTCTTTCTTTTTTTTTTTTTTTTTTTTTTTTTTGGTCACCACAGTCAGAATCATGAAAATTTTCATCACCTCAAAAGTTTTCCTCAAGCTCCTTTGTAATCTTTCCTGCTCACCTGTCCCACTCCATCTCCAAGTATGCATACATTGATCTGTTTTTGTCACTATAGATTAGTTTGCATTTCTAGAGTATTACATAAACAGAATTATACAGTCTGTACTCTTTTTATCCAGGTTCTTTCTTTCAGCATAATTATTTTAACATTCACCTATGTGGTAGCATGTATCAGTAATTTATGCCTTTTTATTGCTGAGTAGTATTTCATTGTGTAGATATTATCGCACCAAAACTCAATTCCGTCGAGTCGTATCTGACTCATAGTGACCCGTACTTGGGTTTCCAAGGCAGTATCTCTATGGAAGTAGATGCCCAGTCTTCCTTCTGAGTGTTTATTTATTGACCTATTGGTGGATATATTTGGGCTTCCAGTTTTGGGGTTTTACTAATAAAGCTGCTATGAATATTTATGTATAAGTGTTTATATAGTTGTATACATTCATTTCTCTTGAGCAAATACCTAGGAGTAGAATGGCTGGATTATATGGTAGATGTATGTTTAAGTTTTAAAGACACTGCCAAATTGTTTCCGACATGGTTGGACATGACCATTTTACATTCCCATTAGGAATATATGAGGGTTCCAGTTCCTTCACATTCTCACCAATATTTGCACTTATTTGCCATTCATGTGACTTCTTGTTGGAATCCCTGGGAGATACAAATGGTTAACATGTTTACCTGCTAACCAAAATGTTGCAGGTTCAAAGCCACCCAGAGGTGCCTCATAAGAAAGACCTAATGAGTTAGGTAAGGGGAGGGATGGTATGGGAAGAGTCTGTGACCAGCATGATAACATTGGGAAAAGGGAGGACACCAAATTGTGCACATGAGATATAGCTGACAGAGGCTAATACCAATATATGCACAATACTGCATTACCATTAATACCAAGCACCAGGCTACAAATAAATACATTAGACAACTGAGAAGATCAGATGGGGGTCTGTGAGCAGGAATATACTCTAGACCAGTGATAGATTCAGCTGAGGCTAATCTTGCACAGGTACTAGTGATACAAAATACCCACAATCATTACAGAAGCAACAGAAGACAGACATAGAGCAATCCCTCATAGACAGCCAGGCACCGTGGGAGAGAGGTCCACCAGATCTGCTGACTCAGGACCATAGTATTGGGGGACACCAGACTCAACTGGCACAATAAAATACATGAAAATCTTGTTCCACAACCTACTTTGGTGAGTCACTGGGGTCTTAAGAGCTTTCCAACGGCCATCTAAGATGCAGCTTATGGTCTCCTATTG